GCCTCCGGGGTGGGGGTGGGGTCTCCCAGAGCTCTGACATGTTTGCTTCACACTCTTGGGCCCCGAGCTGGGGCCCAGGCCAGGGGGGCTTCCCTCGTTGGGTCCTTTTTCCAGATTCTCCCTACCAAACCCAGATGCCTCTCTTCCCACAGTGCCCGTCCACCCTGGGAGAGGAGCGCTCCTACAACCCGTTCCTGAGGACCCACTGCTTGGTGCTGCAGGAGGCTCTGGGGCCAGGCCTGGGCCCCTCTGAGGATGATGGCTACTCCCGGGCCCAGCTCCTAGAGAAGCTCCGCCGGCTGAAGGACCTGCACAAGAGCAAGTGATGCCCCCCAGCCCACCCCGGCCCACCCCCGTGGTGGGAAGGCCACCCATCACCCGCACATGCCATCCCTGCCTTTGCTACCACCACCAACTCCATCGGCGCCCACGGTGGGCATCATTTCCCAGCACCGGTCAGGGCACAAGGAGGAACCAGGTGATGAGACCTTGAGGCCGAGAGGAAGGGGGCTGCTCCAGGGCCTGGAGACTCCATGGCGAGGCTGAGATTTCAAGGGCAACAGGGAAGGAGGGGCCTTGGGACATCTCCAGACCTGACCGGGAGGGATCCCCTCCTCCTGTCCCCTGTTCCTGCAGCGGCAGGAAGGACATGGAGGCCGTTGTTAGCCTCTCCCTCAGGAGGCCTCACTCTCACGGGGGCCCCTGACCCTGAGGCAGCAGGAGCCATGAACAGGTTGAGTCCGTCTTCCCCCTTCTCCCATTCAGGGTTGGGGAAGAAACTGCATCCCCCAGAGTGGCCTGAGGGCGGTGCCTTGGCAAGATGGTCACTCAGAGGGGCACCTGGACTCCTTTTCCGAGACACTGCCCCCTTCTTCCCTAAGTCTCCCTGCCCTGCCCCACCCCCACAAAGGCATTTTTCAAACAGAGCCATTTCCGAGAAAGGTGAAAGGGCTGAACGTCTGGCTGTCTGGCCAATCTCTGCCTCAGCGACCCCTCTACAGCCTGGCATAGGGAGGGTCTTGGTTGCCAAGGAAACCCTGACCTCAGGCTGACTGACGACACTGGAGGCTGTTGGGACTGCAGCCCAACAGTCCTGTAGGGGCAGAGTTCCTGCCCCTGCCCTGGGCCAACAGGGTCCCTCCCTCCCAGGGGAGAGAGAGCCATCCTCCGCCAAGGCCACTGCGGTTTTCTCGTTCTGGCCCTTATTCTTAGGAACTTCTGCCTTCCTCTAACTCCTGCTTTATCTTCAGCCCCTTTCCTCTTTCGGTAATTAACCACATTCATCTGGCCCCTTGCAGTTAGCCAAACACATTTCCGTAATTTGTCATGTGATCCTCGGCCCCATCCCAGCTATGGGGAGGGGGTCTGTGCAGCAGAGTTCAGATATCAGGAATCTGGGATCAGAGAGCTCTCAAATGAGTGGCAGCTTCCAGGACCCCAGGCCTGGGTCCTTCCCCTCTGCTCAGCCCTCCCTCAGCTCAGCTTCTCCTCTGGTCTCAGGCCCAGGTCCTGTAGGGGCCACAGTGCGGAATCCTATGGTCCTCGAGCAGGCGTACCTTGGATTAGCCAGGAGCCTTCTGTTCCTTTGAAGAGAAGCCTTCTCTCAGGCTCTGCTCACCCCCGGCAAGCCTCTGAGATGCCCCCTGCCCTCAGTTTCCCCACATCATCCGGCCTCTGCCTCCCTCTCCAGCCACAGCCTCTGGTACCAACTCTAGCAATACTCCCAGAATAGTTAGAGTTCCCCGCCCCCCAAGACATGCAGTTTCCTGCCTCTGTGCCTTCGCTCATGCTGTTTCTTCGGACTGGAATGCCTTTCCCCTGCTCCTCCTGCCTTGTCTGCCTGGCAAACACCTGTTCATCTCTCACAATCCTTCTCAAAGGCCCCCTCCTCCAGGAAGACAACCCCCATGCCCTTCCCCTCCCAGGCTACCTCTGCTCTTTGTAAATGCTTCTCTTGTGGCACTTATCACACTGTATTTGACTTGTTTACATGTTTGTCTCCCCTTCCAGACTGTGAACCCTTCAGGGCATGGACTGTATCTTATGCATCTTTGAATTTCTGCGCCTAGCACGGTGCCTGGCACACAGTAGGCGCTCAATAAATGTTGAATGAATGAATGATTTAACCGAGGTTCTGTCACTCAATGGGCTTATCTTTATTGCTGGTTCCATTTTTCTGTCTGGGTTACAGGTCAGCCAGCTTGAATTTACTGCACTTAAAGAGCTTTGGCCAGAAACAACTCTATAAATATATTTTCCCATGGCTCATGTGCATTTTTTCAGGACTTACAATTTGCTAACCTCAGTGTTTTCCCAAGCTCGAGATGCACAAGTGTATGCTGGCCACAGGGGAGATGGTTTTACGTGCTCTCAGCACAGCAGTGATAGCACCTCGAGGGCAAAGCCTTGGTGCCAGCCTCTCTCCATCGCAGCTATAACAAAGAGCCAGACTCCATTATCTGGAGAGTAACTTTAATAACATAGTTTCGTTTTCCTTGTATTTGTCTTTGGGGTCAATATTTTGGACAAATGATACCATTTTTCAATTCGTGATAGTAATTAAAGCTATTCATTTACATAGGAAAATAAGAAGTAAAGGCGACCCTGGGCCGTGGCAGAATTCTTCATGGTGGCACCGGTATGGCTGAAGGCTGAAGCGCTGGCTTAGCGCCCTGTTTCCTTGGGGCCAGCCCAAGGCGTAGTCTTCCCACCCTTGGCCATACCTCTGCCTCCTATCTTAGATGCTCCTCACCCCGAGTCGGGGAACTTGGTTGGCATGGGCCCTGGTCTTGGATGAGGGCTGCACCTGGGGTGGGGGTGGCGAAAGGGGCCATGGTGCTCACCTTCCTGAGGAAGTGTGGCTTACTGTGCTCTGTGATTGTCTCTGGGTCACTGCTGTCATGAATGGGTGAGCCCCAGGGCCAGGTCGCCCTGGGAATGCCCAGCATTAAGGGGCACTAGGTGTTCGTTCTCTAAAGCTGGTGATGCACTTTCCCAGGGCCTTGGGTGACCCTCCCACTGGGGCATCTGTCCTAAATGATGGCATGTGCTTCTCCCAGAGCTGACACTGACCAGCAACAACCAGGCCTCCTGCCCCTTGCTTTCAGGACAGTAGGTGTCACTGACCTTAGAGATCTGGGTTCCAGACCCAGTTCTGTTTCTCAAGAGTCAAGTGATATTGAGCAAGTCACTTCCCTGACCTCAGTTTTTTCATCTTCCAATGGAGACGACAACCTTGAATAAGTCGGAACCCTTTCAAGTGCAAGTGGCAATTAGTTAACAGAGAGGAGTTTACACCAAAAGAGAAGTTTATCAGCTCATGCAATTGAGAAGTATGGGATTATGTCATGGGGACTTTAGGCATGGAGATGAACAGGATCTTCATCATTCAGCTCTGCTTGCTTCTGTATCGGTGCCAACCTCTGTCAGGCTTTCCCCTGCAGTGGAGAAAGTCTCTAGAAGTTCTAAGCTACTAGTTCATCAAACCTAGCAGAACTTCCCATAGTCACTGAGTGTCGTCGGTCCAGCTCAGGTCACGTTCCCAGCCCCAAACCAATTGTGGAGTTTAGGTAAATGGACCTCTCTGGCCAGATTAGGTCACATGACCACACCTGGCAGGTCAATGTCAGAGACAACTGAAATACAGTTTTTTTAGGTCCTCCAAGGAAAATCATAAACCTTCACTACCAAGTCCACTTACTGGAGGCTATTACAGGAGTCGGAAGAGAAAAGGTACATGAAGTCACTTTGGAAAACGCTCCATCAGATCTCTGGTGCTATAATTAATTATAGAAAAGAAATGGAGGTAGACATATGGCCTCCAAGGTGTTTGAATAATACGTAGTTTTAAAAATAACCAGCAAGCAGTTCATTTTTTCAATTGTTTCCCTCAAACACACACTATCTCTCTGGAGGTACAAAAGGTGAGAGAGAGAGTTGGGGGCTAAGTGGGCAGCTCTGCGCATTCCAGGGAAGAACAGAGAACAGGAAGCGCGAAGAGGCCTGTGCGTGCAGCTGTGTGTTGGAGGGTGGTCTTAGTCCTCCAAGGCCTCAGCCACAAATGGAGCCTTTGAAAGCAAGTGGGAACCTAACCCTTGTGGTCAGTAAACTCTAGGCTCTGGCAAATTCTGGACAGGGTGGTAGAAAGAAAAAGGACTTGGAGTCGGACTGGTTTGCCTCCAACTGGCCGTGGGTTACACCAGGCAAGTGGCTCATTCTGGAGCGGCTGGAGGAAGTGAATGAGATGTACAGTTGCCTTAATGAAGAGCAGCCTCTCCCTTCCTCTTACTGTTATTAATGAACTTAGGGCTAGCTAGTCCATCAGGTAGAACAAAGTGGTTAAGAATATGAACTCTGGAGCCAGCGCATCTGAATTGGAGTCCATGCATTCCATTTATTAACTGAGTGAACTTGGGCACGTTGCTTAACCTTTCTGTGCCTCCATTTCTCATCTGTCCAACAGGGATGATGCCAGCACCACCTTAGAAGCTGACTGTGAGAATTAAATAAGTTAATACCTGCAGAGCTCAGCACATTGTGAGCCCTCTCTGTGTGTGGTAGTCATTCAGTAGATGCCCACACCGGCTGCTGGGAGGGCACAGGCTATCCATATCACAGGCTCAGAGAGGCCAATCTGTCCAACACAGCTGAGCAGCTAGTATGTCAATCTACTCCAGAGCGTCCTTTTACTGGCTATCAGGCCCTAAGTGGGGCACAGTAACAAATGTCCTTGACAGATCTCTTCCAGAGGGTTAAAAAGTATGCAGCAAACTGATGTTAATCCTTCTGTGAGTCACTTTGCCAAACTGCTTTCTCCCCTAGTAGCTGGCAGGACACAGCCAGAACCCAGGGGGAGGAAATAGGTAGGGATTGGGGGAGGTGAGAGAGTTGAGAACATGGGCTCCCAGGAGGTGGCAGCCCATGAGAACAGGCAAGTAGGAGTCCTATGCAGCTAGAGGGGCCCGAGCAAGGAGAGGTGAGGAAGGAAGGGGGGAGCTCTGAAGGGAAGTGGACGGGTGACCACAGGTGGGGATTTACATGATCACCCCTTAAAGAGCATCTAGACCACAATTTGCTTTTTGTATTTTTAACTTTGTTCTAATAATTTAAAAGATTTTGTTAAACTTTATGTAATTCACATATGAAAGCAATAGGGTTTGCTCGTTTTAGATTTTATTTAAATCTTCTGGTTTTTTATTAACAACTTTATTGAGATATAATTTACATAACACACAATTCACCCTTGTAAAGTGTACACTTCAGTGGTTTTTAGTATATGCTCAGTTTTGCAACTATCACTGCCATCCATTTTTAGAACATTTTTATCATCCAGGAAAGAAGCCCTGTGCCCGTTTGATGTCACTCCTGTCTCCACGCCACCACCCCACCCCCACGCTAGGCAACCACCGATCTACTTTCTGTCTCTAGATTTGCCTATTCCGGACATGTTATATTAATAGAATCATGCAATATGTGGTCTTTTGTGACTGGTTTCTTTTGTTCAACGTGTTTTCAAAGTTTGTCCACGTGGTAGCATGTGTCTGTGCTTTATTCCTTCTATGGCTAAATAATATTCCATTGTGTTTACACATCACATTTTGTTTATCCATCTGTTAGCTGATGGACCGTTGGGCTATTTTCACTTTTTTGGCCATTATGAATAATGATGCTATCAACATCTGTGTTTTGTGTAGACAGATGTTTTCAATTCTCTTGGGTATACAGCTACGAGTGAATTGCTAAGTCATACGGTAACTCCACATTTAACTTTTTGAGGAACTAACAAACTGCTTTCCAAAGCAGCTGTGAACTTTGCTAATGCCACTGACGGCTCACGTGCAGAAAAAGGCTTGTTCAGAATTCACTTTGGCTTTTAAAAACTAGCAAATTCCTTAAATGTTTTCATTTTTTAAATATAAGCATTTCAAAACCTTTTATGTTCAGCTTCCCAGTCATATCATTCTAATCATAGATCTAGTAATATTAATAACTTCTAAGGGGGCTTTGATTACTAATTGGTCCTCTTTTTAGAATTAAAACTGCTTTAGGCAGTATATATTGCACTTATTCATTCTATATGTTTTATATTACTATATTTTCTTTTTTAAAGCAATTGTTATGTGTCAATTATAGCTCCATAAAGCTGGAGCTATAAAATAAAATAAAAAGAATTCTATCCTCTTTTAAAAATCGTTTTTATTATGGTGACATTGGTTAATGAAATCCAGTAGTTTCAGGTGTACAATTCAACAATAAGGAATATATATATATATTGTGTTGCGTGTTCACCGCCCATAGTTCGATTTTCTTCTGTCATTACCATATATTTGACCCTTTTTACCCCATCTACCCCCCTCCCCTCTTAAAATTTTTTTTAAACAATTGACTGACAAACCAGCCTCCCAAGTTACTTTTATTGCAATTTAATAAGGAAACATATAAACATAGTAAATTTGAAGTTTTTAAAAGTGTTTTTACAATTCCAGTAAGAATTTACATTCCAAGAACGGTTTAAATCAATTATTCAACTGCCTAATTTAAATTAGAATCTCCAGGCTTACCTCTTAAGCACCTTCCCATACCACATTATTTTAACCCTTTCCAGAACTTGAAATATAAAATATGCACAATGTAATACAAAAAAAAAAAATTAGTTCTTCTTAAACATTTCCACATATAATTCTAAATCTTCCTAAAGTTGATACATAATTATCCAGTAAGAAGCTCTCTGAAGATTACCCTCCCAAGTGACATGGAGGTCGAGGGAGGGAGGACACGAGGTGACTGAGGTTTCATGTGAAGATTTGTCTTTAATTTGTTTATTTTTAACTTATAGGGGACATACAATATTATACAGTTTCCGGTGTACGATTTAGTGATTAGATATTTATATACTTTATGAAGCGACCACCACATTGAGTCCGGTGCCCATCTGTCACTGTGCATAGTTACCACAGTGTTGCTGACTGCATTCCCTGCGCTGTGCTCTACATCCCGTGGCTATTTTTTTCTTTTATCCCCATGGCTTATTTTATAACCGACAGTTTGTACTTCTTAATCCTCTTCACTTGTTTCACCCATCTTCCCACCTCCTCCCAAGATTTTTCTTTTCTGTGACCCTGGCTATCAGACTGAGCCCTTTTATAGCCACTATGTCAAGGACTCCAACAGTTACCCGGTGGGGATCAGACAGCCCGCAGCCTGCGGTTTGAGTAGATCATAATTCAATTTTCAAGCCCTTGTCTCCAATTACTATCCATATTATGGCACCACGTGTTTAAATGCATCGTATCATTTATTAGCAGCTTCGTGTTTCTCTGAGCTCTCTCTCACTCTGGAACCAGATTGCCTCGGGTTGGGTCCTGGTTCTGCCAGTTACTAGCTGTGTGACCTTGGGAAGACTTTACCTCAGTTTTCTCAGCCATAAAATGGAGGGAAAAAAGTACCTGCTCACAGTGTTATTCTGAAGATTGAGGCCCTATGGACAGCGCCTGGCCTAGAGTTAGCGTGGTTTGTGAGTTTGCTGTGCTTGTCGCTGTGATCACCATCATTGTGGCATGTTAGGACCACAACATGTACTGCTATTCACAGGGCATCTAAGTGGGCTCTGTGCATGTGAGGTCACGTCTGACTCGGGGCCACGACTTCTAAGGTCATTCTAATGACCTATGTCATCGCCCTGCCTTTTAAAAATGTCAAATGCTCCCTCTGCTGGACAATACTTCAGGCTTGGTTTGAGCACTAGAATACTTAGTTCCTACCATTTCCTCTAAGGTCAGAGTGTTTCGAGAAGTGAGTTGATGGCCCTTTAAGGGGTGGTAGCTAGCTCCCAGTTGCCATGGAGACAGCTAGATACAGCCTGGCAGCAGGCAGCAGGCACCATGTCCTCTCAAGTTCAATCCTCAGGTAGGAAGAGGGCTTCCAGGGCTGGAAAGGGGAAGGCCATCTCCCTCACAATCCACCTTGGGGGTTTCTACTCTTGGGACCTCTGCCCCAGCCTGTCTGGATATGAGGTCTGCCATCTCATACTCTCCTCCTCCCATAGACCCCAGAGCCAAGGACCAGCATGCCTCGGCCGCAGAGAGGTCACCCTTAGAGGCCAGTGCTGAAGCTATTCACTTCCTCAACTCCCTCGGTGAGCCTGGGCTGGTGCGGGGAGGCGGGTACACAAGTGTGGAGAAGAGGGAAGGGAGAAGGCGCAGACCTGGCCCTGTCTCTCTCAGCCTGATTCTCCTGGGACTCGGAAAGGGCCCATATTTTTCAAGGGAAGACCTGAGGGACTTGGGGTGGTGGAGGTGTGTCTTCACCCACTGGCTGCTGTAGAGGCCAATGGAGGGGAGACAGGAGTTGCCTGGGAGACGGGGATGAGGAGGGGGTGGGTGGAGACTGTGGTGGCACTGGCAGCCAGGGCGTCAGAGAGGTAAGGCCTAGGAGCTGCACCTTTATCTGTCCCCACGACATCCTCACCCCCAGGGAAGGAGGAGCTGCAGATGCTGTTCTTCTCCGAGACTCTGGCCATGGTCTCGAATACAGGAGAGCCTCAGGGAGAGCTGACCATCGAGGTGCAGAGCGGGAAACTAAAAGACAAGTTCGACGTCGTGTCACACTACCCCTTTGTGCACGCCTCCTGCAGAGGCTTCATGGACAAAACCATCTGCGGAAACTCTGTCCGAGGTAGAGTTCCTGCTGCCTGATATCCTTCCTCCACCGCCCTCATGCACCCCTTCCCTCCATTCCCAGGACCTTCACTCAGGACCAACCCTTGGACTTCACCTTGGGACCAGAATGAGGCATTGAGGGTGTGCGGGAGGTAGGGGTGCTGGGGAGGTTAATTACAGCCACAGACTCAAGACAAGAGCCCCACTTGTTTATTTCCTGTGGCTGCACTACACCTGAGTCCTCTAGCCTGGGGCACCACCCTCCCCTCCTGCAATATCCAACCTGTGATGGCGCTGTCCCCTCTTTCCACCCTAGGCTATCTCTCGTGGAACTTGAGGACCATAGAACAACATAGTCAAGAGTTCATCAAGGTACCTCCTGGGGCCCCCAACCTTGGCCCCAACCTAGGGTGAGAGAATAGAGACCTTGGGAGAGGGGAGGGAGGAGGAGGGAGGGGGAGGGAAGGGGAGGAAGGGGATCTCAGTGGAACATCATCTACCTCTCTTTCTCCAGTTACCCTGCAATCCCCACCACACACAGCGTGGAAGCCCATCTATCCAGGGGTATGGGAGGTCAGCAGCAGGTTGCTTCTGTCCTTCTAATACACAAGTGCTGGGTCCGGCCCACCCCAGACCTCTCCTCCAGCCTCAGAGCCCAGCGTCTCCCCGGGGGCCATGTGGGCTGACCTTTCCAGAGCCTGGCCTTTCCCAAGGGCCTGTCACCACCTAGCCTCCAAGTTCTCTTGCTCTGAGCACAACCAGCCCCAGCCACTTCGTGACCCGTTTACACACTGGAAGCCACTCTTGCCTAAGAACTTTCCCACAGATTGTTTGTTTACAATCTGGTGAGTCCCCGATTCTCCCCTCCATGCTCTGGCCCTTAGTTCCACATCCTCCCCATGGAACGGAAGATGAGTTTGCTGAAGGAAGAGGATCGGCTGGTCATGAACAGAAGTATCAAGGAGGGTGAGGTGAGAGTGGAAGCTGGACTCCCCATCCTCTTGAAACCAGGTGCAGGGGGCCAGATCGTGTCGGGCAAACCAAACACCTGGCTTGCCCACCCTCCCTGCCCCTTCCCAGCTCAACATCCCTAACCCAGATTTGTCCTGAACAGGAAATAAAAACCGAAGTGACTTTTATCCCCTGGGACTCAACCGTGGGCTTCATCTCCGAGGCTGCCAACCTGCTGTTGCTGAGGGTGATGGCCTGGCGGCAGATGGTACCCAACAATGCCCGTTTCCTGGCCTTGGACACAGAGGGCAAACTCTGCTATTCCACCTATGTGAGGGGCCTCCCTGGGCAGTGGTCTTGGCCTCAGGGCAAACTAGAAGGGGCATGGAGGGCGCTGGGGTGAGAGAAGAGGCAGCTGTGGAGTGGAAGAGTGGGAGGGATGGAGATGAAACCGGGGTCGTGTGGCGGGGACATGACTTCCAAAGGCAGGAGAAAGCAAGACTGAATTCGTTAGAGAGATGACCGCATGTGGGACAGGTGGAGTGAGTGAGGGACCAAAGCGTGTGAGCCGTCGAGGGAAGCAACACTTTTTTGCACAAAAGTCAGTCCAGGAAAAATAAACATAGTGAAGTGCTGCTTTTAAGACGTTTTTTTAACATCAGGAAGTACAATATATCCAAGTACATTTAAACATTCTTTTACTGAGGCCCAACCCTGAAAGCTATTCTTCCTCCTCCTCCTTCCTGCCCCTCCTCCTCCTCCTTCTCTTCTTCTGTTTTGGCTAAAATTTCAGAATCCATGTACCTACGACTTCTATAATATATTATTTTTTAAAATTTATTTATTTAAATTAGTTTCAAGGATATAGTACATTGGTTACACGTCTATATAGTTCATAAAACGATCCCCCCAATTGCTCCCTCCCTCCCCTGGCCCTCCACTCAGCCATGATGTTAATGCTAACTGCGTCCCCTCTGCCGTGCTCCCCATCCCCGTGACCAACTATCAGCTACTAATTTGTACTTCTTTAACCCTTCACCCCATTCTCCCAGCCCCCCAACTCCCCTCCCCTCTGTCCGTCACCAAATTGTCCACTATATACAATATATGATTTTAAAGCTGTGTCTCTGAACATACACTTTGGGGGCTTATTTGACAAATTTCATAAATGACGTTCTAGTCTTTTCTAACACAAACATGACAAAGAACAATGTGTTTGGCACAAACAGGCCCTTGCCATTCTCCCCCATTTTCTTTGAAACACGTGTTTTATGTTAACACTTTTCTCCCCATGGCCGTAGCCATAAGAGGGGTTTAAGTTTTAGTTATAACAGGGCATCGGGCCTGCAGCAGCAAGAGCCCGAGGAGGCCACACACACACGCTCGCACCTAATTGGTTGATCCTCATCCCCTGCCACGGAATCTGCCAACTAGATGCACTTGGTCATGGAGAGGGGATGGAGCGGAGTTGGGACAGGGGCTGGCTCTCTATGAGGGGACCTTCAACTTAACTTGGAGGCACAACTCACATCTTGCAGTGCCTGAGTGTCTGGACAGCCAAGGGCTGCTTGTCACTGGTTAATGACGAATGAAGCTGCAAGATGGAGAAAAGGGCCTGGGTGAGATTTTGGGGGAACCCTGGTGGGCATCCACCTCACCTCCTTCCTTTTATTTTGGCTGCGGCCAGCAAGCCCTAGGCTCCCAGACCATCCAGGTAGACCGTCAGCAGGCGGAAGTGTTCATTGTGGAGCAGACTGTGCACTCAGATCAGGGCATCCCCACGTCCTGCCAGTTCTACCTGCTGTCTGATGGGTGAGCTACCAACAGTGGGGCCAAGGGGGGCAGTGTTGAGCACAAGCCTGGCTGCTCACTGATGGAGAGTGATGGGGCCAAGGAAGACTGCTGTTTCTGGGGATACCACCACGAGGAGTTACTGTTGAGATCTGAGTGCTCCTGCTTTATTCACATCATTCACCCTTCCTTCGTGTATTCACTCGTTCTGATTCTCATGGTGCCTCCCAAACCTCACCTAAGAGCCCTGAATGGCTAAGGACATTCGCTCGAGACTCCACGGGGCCTGAGGCACAGCTAAAGCAGCTGTCACAGATGTTTAGTGTCACATTGAAAAACATCAAGGTTTGAACAACTCGACATGTGATAAATCAACGTGCTAGGAGAAGCATTCTGGCACACTGCCAAGCTGTCGCCAGCAAAGCACAGGCACTAAATCGTGAGAAAATTCGAGAAGGGGAGGAGGATTTGTTTCCAGACAGGTATTGACATAACTACTACACAGGAAGAAAAGTAATCAGAACATCCTTGGCCTTCTTTATTTCATAACTTAGCTCATTGTTTCTATATTGAGTGTCACGTAGCAGGAGGCTCATTATTTTTTTATACTTACTCCTCCAAAGGTTTCAGTACGGCCCTGGCACACCAGCATGCATCTCTAGAGGCGGGAACAGTACCGGGCTTGAAAAGCGGGCCATTATCTGGGGACGCAGAAATGAACTTGACCCAGGAACTCAAAGACAAGTGGGGGTGGAGGGTGGGGAAGGGCGGCAGTAAAGAGAAGCCCCCAGGACGCTCTCGAGGGAGTGGGCTAGTATAGGGAGACACTTTCTCCTGTGTTGCTCTCCAGGCATCTGGCCAAGAGAATCCAGGTGGGCTCCCCTAGCTACTGCTTGATCACCAAGATGCCCAGCTTGAGGGAGGAGGGTGAGTGAAGCCTCTGGCTGGTGGGAGAGTGAAGGGGAGGTGGGAAAACCTGGGGCCTTCTCGGGTGCAAGGGCTGGACTGAGTGTGCCGTGGGCGGGATCCAAGCCCGAGATCAGATGCAGAAGCTTTGCCCTCCGGGCCTGGCCCCAAGGCAGTTAGGGGAGGATCATTTTGCAGGAAATGCCTTCCAGCATCTCTGCCAATGTGGGCAGCGCCCTGGGATTTTACCGGAGCCTGCAATTTGGGTATTCTTGGGCATCCCTGTGCATCTGAGGAAGGTTCTAGGGTGGGGGGTACACATCCTTCCTCCCTCCCCATCCAGATGAGATGGAGCCTCATCCGGTATTTAAGAAGAAGCCCCTGATGTGGGAGGAGGACATGGAGCTCTACTCGAAGTTCCTGGACCGGAAGGTGAGGAGAGGCTGCCCCCTGCGGTCCCGATTCCTCCCCACCCCCCCCACCCCACCCTCCAGGCTCATAAATTCCACCGTTACCAGTCTCTCTTGGGACCTGGTTGCAGTGCACACCCCAGTGGGTTGGGAGGTCCCCGCGTCCCTAAGCCCTCCTTGGAATGAAGTAAGGGGACTTCCTGGGGCGCGGGAGACCCGGGGCCGGCTCAGGCTCGGGCTCGGTCCTGCCAGGAGCAGCTGCGTCTCAGCCACACCAGATATCTGCAGCAGCACCCCGACGCCCAAGCGCTTATCTCGGACTTCCTGCTCTTCCTGCTGCTGCGCCAGCCGGCCGACGTGGTCACCTTCGCCGCCGAGCACTTCGGTCCCTTCGCCATGCACCGCCCGCCCTCCCCGGCCTTGCGCTCCTCCAACCGACGCAGCCCCTTCCGCACGTTTCACACGGAGTCCAGCTAGACCCGCGGCGCGGCGCGCCGGGCCCCCGGGCGGGTACTGGGAAGGAAGCGGGGTGGCGGGTCTGGGACACCGCCGCACCCAGGAGGCGCGCCTTCCGGATTGCGGTTTTGATGGAAATAAACGGAGCCCTCCAGGGAGTGAGAGCCAGAACCTTCTTCCTTGACCAGTCTCGCGTCTTGGCTTAAGGATAGGAACCATTAGTGGCGCTTACCAAGCGAATTTCAGCCTTTCTTCTTGAATGCTATTAGCATCATTATCCCCACTTTACAGATAAGAAAATAGAGGCACAATAGGGTAAGTCAGGGATCCCCAGTTCCCTGGCCACAGACAGGTATGGGTCCATGGCCTGTTAGGAACCGGCTGCAGAGCAGGAGGTGAGCTGCTGGCCAGCCAGCAAAGCTTCATCTGTATTTGCAGCTGCTCCCCAGCACTAGCATCACCGCCTCAGCTCCACTTCAGATCATTAGGCATTAGATTTTTGTAGGAGCACTGGTCCCTGGTGCTAAAAAAAGTTGGGGACCACAGGGTTAAGTAACTCTTAGAGTTAGCACATGGGTAGCAGGATTCAAACCCTGAGTCTGGATTCCAAAGTCCATACTAGTCACTAGGTTAGTAGGGGTGGAGGGGTGGGGCTTCTTCATACTACTCAGCATAACTGCCTGCTCCCCTCCCCTGCCCCAAAGAAAAAGAGCAGATGGGTGGTGGTGGGGGACGATGGGGAAGGGATCTGGATCACCACTGGCCTTGCTCATCTTCTCCCAAGACTCCCAAACACCCCTGCCAGCTCTCACACTCCACCTTCCTCCCCATTCCTACTGACACACAAGCACCCCCAAATGGTGTACAGGGTTCCCATCACCTCCTTTCAGCTCCTTGCTAATGTCACTCTGTCCAGGGGCTTGTTTCTGCCCAGTACTGGCTGCCTGCTTGGTAACAAATATAGGGTAAGCTTCCTTAAGGCAGCTGGCAATGGGGGTGCAGGCTCCACCCTACAGTACAGCAATACAGTCTTCGGGACCTGCTTTGCAAGAGGAGGGACCCAAAGAAGTTTTGTATTCTAGTAAATAATATGGGCTAATAGCTACAAGGCTGCGGTGGGGGGTGGTCCATGACCCAGGAATCAGGGAAGGAAGGTTTCATGGAGACTTGTCAGTTGAGTTGAGCCTTAAAGAATTTTTAATTATATATATAACATGTATATATATTAATTTTTAATTATATATATAACATGTATATATATTTTAATTATATATATAACATGCGTGTGTGTGTGTGTGTGTGTGTATATATATATATACACACATACAGTCCTTTTCCTTTATTTCAAAAGAAATACATGTTCATCAGAGAAAAATTAGAAAATAGTGATAAACCAAAAGAAGAACGTGACTTCGCCTCAATTCCTCTGCCTAGAAATGGCTACTTTCAACATTGTAACAAATAGTCTCTACTCTTTTTTCTATGCATAAAGGTAGCTGGTGTTTGTTCAGCATTTACTCTATCAAGCACTTTATATAGAATGTTTGATTTGGTCTTTACAGCTTCAAAAGACTTTATTTTAACAAAAATAAAATCATAGAGTAATAGATGCTCATTAACCAATAATCGCATACTTAATTACACTCTTGAAAAGTTTCAAACATTAGAGAACATAGACACAAAGCTGGAATCTCCCTAGATTCCTACCTTAATCTCTTCATGTTTTGTAACTTTTTTGAAAGTTTTAGCCAGTTGTTTCATTTAACAATATGTTCTGAAAATATTTCCTCGTCAATACAGTCTTCTATTTTTTTCTTTTTTGATGGCTCTGCCATCATGTAACCAATCTCTGCAAATACCTGCCTTTTTATTTTTATTTTTTGCTATCATGAACTATGCTGCACCGAACATCTTTGTAGTTAAATCTTTGCATAGATCAACAATTTTTTCCTTAAGGATACATTCTAAGAAGCGTAATTGATATTAAGGCTTTTGTTTGTTTGAATATATTACCAAATTCTACATGTGGAACATTTTTATTAATGTCAGATACAGCCTTCCAGGCAGAGAAAATGATACGAGGAAAGTATAACGTATGTGCATGGTCTAGGGCGGTACCATCCAACACAACTTTCTGCAGTGATGGAAATGTCTTCTATCTGCAATGTCCAATACAGTGGCCACTCATCACATGTGGCCACTGAGAACTAGAAATGTGGTTTATATGACTAAGGAACTGGAGTTTTAATTTTAACTCATTTCAATTTAAATCGCCACATGTGGCTAGTGGCTACTCTATTGGACAGCACTAGAGAGGAAGTTTTTTTTTTTCATTCAGTCAGGCAAGAGGCTCAACAAGTGGGCCCCTTCCATGTGGCAGGATTGTTCTGGATGCTGGGAGATCAGTAGTGACAAGACAAAGTCTTGGAGCTTACAGGTAGTGTGGGGAGATGGACAATAAACATAAAAGATAATTTCATGTGTAAAATTTCAGTCATTAATGAAAACAAAGCCAAGTAATGAGTAGAAAGTGACTCAGGGTTGGAAGATTGAGGGTAGAGACTTCAGGGAGGACCTCTGGGGTCTCTGTTGAACTGGAGCCCAATGATAAGCAGTTAGACCTGTGAAGAGCTGCAGGAAAAATATTCCAGGCAGAGGGAACAGCAAGGGCAAGGGCTCTGAATATACCATGCTGGGAACAGAAGGCTGCGAGGCCAGAGTGCAAAAGAAAGCAAGAGAAGCTGGCAATGAAAGTGCTTAGTCACCCCGAGGTAAGCCGGGCTGAGTCAGAGAGAGCCTCCTCGGCCCTGGTTTGTTTTCTTCATCTGTGGAGAATTGAAACTGAGGCTGACCCAGGGCAGTGAACCAGAACATGCCTGCGGAGATCCCAAGAGCCCCCTCCAGTCCCGGATGCTCTGCAGCAGTGGGGAAGAGGGGAGGGCTGTAACATTCAATCCGTGGAGGGCTTTCCTCCCCTGAACTGTCTTGCCACTTGCTTGCCTGCCTGTGTGACATCCCTTTCAAAACTGGTTTGTTTTTAGATCATATTATTTGTCCCCTGAACTTCCAGGACCCCCTCCTCTTGCTCCACAATACTAAGATAGCTATTTCTCTGAACAAATAAAAAATAAATGTTGATGCGGAGAAAAAGGAACCGTCATACACTGCTGGTGGGACTGCGAATTGGTACAACCACTATGGAAAACAGTATGGAGGTTCCTCAAAATCTAAGAATTGATCTACCATATGATCCAGCAATCCCTCTCCTGGGTATTTACCCCAAAGACTTGAAACCCCATATCCGAAAAGATAATTGCACACCGATGTTCATAGCAGCACTATTCACAGTGGCCAGGACATGGAAGCAACCGAAGTGTCCTATGATAGATGACTGGCTAAAGAAGCTGTGGTACATATATACAATGGAATATTACTCAGCCATAAGAAGAGATGAAATACTGCCATTCGCAACAACATGAATGGACTTAGAATAATCATGCTAAGTGAAATAAGCCAGGCAGAAAAAGTTGAAAATCACATGATATCACTTATATGTGTTATATAAGCCTAAAAGCAACAAATGAGCAGGACAAACAAGGGGGAATTTAAATCATTTCTTTAATTTAAAAAAAGTAAGTAAATAAATAAATTTTGAGCACTTCTGAAGTTTCAGGCACTCTACTAGGATTTGGGATGCTGTGGGGACATCAGGATTGAGCCCTCCTGCATGGCACATGGCTTAGAAGGGAAGGGACATCACTCAAGGATAAATGGATACCATGGATAAATGTAGACCATGGAAAGTGCTAATAAGAGAACACATGCATGCAGTATTAGAGTGTTTAATGTGGACTCGACCTAGTGGTGGAGCCCAGGGAGGCAGAGGGAAATGAATAAGAAGAAGAAGAACAAGCCCTATGCAGCGCTTACTCTTCAATCCCTTGACACGTGGTAATTCTCACAAGTACCCCTATGTGGTGGATTCTATTATCATTCCCATTTTACAGAAGAGAGATATGTCAAGGCCAAGGTGCACAGGTTAATGACAGAGCCAGGATTTGGACCCAGGGAATCTGGCCCAAGTTCATGCATGAACCCACTCTGATAAACATATCAGATGTGGCTCTCTGGAGACAGATGCCAGAACAGAGAAGAGACACCTTCCTGCTTTAGATACATCCAGAGCAGGCTTGACTATACTATCTTCCCCCTTCCCCAGGCACGCAGAAACTGTCCCACTCCCTACTGCATTGTCACTGACAGCAACCTCACTGCTATAAGTGGCGTGGGTAGAAAGGGAGGGCATTAGGCTGAGAGAGCATGCAGCCTGGTCCTGGGGAGATCAAGTAAGGCTTCCTGGAGGAAGTCATACCTGAGCTGAGTCCTGAAGAAAGGCAAAGTCTGTGGAGAACGTTCTAAGAGGAAGCAGCCTATGCAAAATCCTGGAGCTGAGAGGGAGGGAGCCCTGAATGTCTGGGTGACTGCAAGGGGTTCAGGATGAGATGATGGTCTGGGAACCCAATTAAAGTGCTGTCAGCCATCCAAGAGCCCGAGAACCCCTGGAAATGGGTCAGGTAAATGCCAGAATGCCCAACTGGTTTTGCGGGGGTTTTTTCCTCCCACAAGAAGCCAGAACGAGAGCAGATAAACAAAGAGTAATGTCACAGACAAGTGAAATCCTACAAGAAGGGTCTCCGATTTTGACTTTCGATGACAAAGTAGAAAACCAAGACTGGCGATACCCTTGGAAAGTGGCCCTCTGAATCTCAGTCATGCTCCTCCCTTTAATAATAATCCTGTGGTTCAATCTGCTCTCTCTTATCACCGGCATTCATGGCAAAACTTGTTCTCGTTCGCTTTCGTAGTTTCCCATTTCGTGTTATGATATAGTGCGTCAGAATTGTCCTCTGCTATTAAATTGTCATAAGTGTCCCACATTTGAGCTACACTGAATCCAAAGGCTTTGGGGGACAAGCCTGAAAATTAAGCCACCATGAGCATCAATGTTTATAACAGAAAATGCATTTGGAGTTCTGAAGAACAGTGACCAAAGACACTTTGGAGCTCCATTTATGAGAGCGATTAACTGCACAGTACTAGATGCATATATATATTGGGTCTCATACAATTCTTTGAGGTAAGTATTGTATTTCCCCACTTCACAGGCGAGGAAACTGAGGGCCTAAGAAACTTGCCTACGTCATGGCGCCAGTAAATAAGATTCCTACCCAGGCCATATGATTTCAGAGGCTCTGGCGAGGGGTTTTAAATCTTTTTATTCATTGAATAATATTCATCAAATAAGACACATTCTTTTCCTTCACTTTAAAAATTGAGATAATGGCAGATTCTCACTTAGTTGCAAGAAATAACTCAGCGAGCTCTCACGCATACTTTGATCACTTCCCCCTGATGGTAATTTCTTGAGAAACTATAATACAATATTAAAACCAGGATTTTATGCTCTTTTTTTGGTGGTAAAATATACATAAATTTTACCCTTTTAACCATTTTTAGGTGGGCGAGTTAGTGGCATGAAGTACATTCACACTATTGTGCAACCATCACCACTATCCGTTTCCAGACATTTTTATGGTCCTAGACAAAAACTCTCTACCCGTTAAACACTAACTCCCCTCTCCCCGCTTCCTCTGCCCCTGGCCACTATCATTCCACTTTCTGTCTCTATGTATTTGCTTAGTCTAGGTACCTCTTATAAGTGGAATCATACAATTTTTGTCTTTTTATGTCTGGTTTATTTCACTTAGCATAATGTTTTCAAGGTTCATTCATATTATAGCAAGCATCAGATTTCATTCCTTTTTAAGGCCGAATAATATTCCGTTGTTTGCATATACCACATTTCGTTTATCCATTCGTCGATGGACTTTTGGGTTGTTTCCACCTTTTGACTCTTGCGGAAAATGTTATGAATGTGAGAATACACGTATCTGTCTAAATCCTGTTTTCAGTACAAGCAGGATACGGATGCTGATATTGACATAATCCACTGATCTTTTTCAGATTCCCCCAGTTTTACTTGTGCTCATTTGGGTGCGTGTGTGTGCACGCGCACGTGCGCACACACGTGCATGCATGTGTTAAGTTCTGTGCAATTTCATCAGATGTTTAGGTTTGTGTATCAAGATAGTGAACAGTCCCAACACCACAAGGATCCTTTGAGGTATCCTTTTATAATCACACCCACCTCCCTCTCCACCCCCACCTCATCCATCTCTACCCACTGGCAATCATTAATGCAACCTTCATTTCCAAAACTTTGTCATTGCAAAGATGTTATATAAGAAACGATACAATATGTAACTTTTCGAGATTGACTTTTTTTCTCTCGGCATGATTTCCTGGAGTCAGTTTAACCATTCACCTGTTGAAGGATAATAGAGGTTGTTTCCAATATTGGCTATTATGTATAAAGCTGTTATAAACATTCATATACAGACTTTTGTGTGAACATAAGTTTTAATTTTTCTGGGCTAAAGGCCCAGGAGTATATTTAGTATATGGATGTACCATCGTTGGGTTAATCAATCACCTATTGAAGGACAATTTGGGTTGTTTCCAGTTTGGTCATTATTAATAAAGCTGCTATAGAAATTCATGTACAGATTTTTTTGTGGGAACATAAATCATCATTTGCTGGGAAAAGTGCCCAGGAAGGCAGTTGCTAAATAATACAGTAGTTGCAACTTTAGTTTTTTAGGAAATTTCCAAACTGTTTCCAGAGTGGCTGTACCATTTTCCATTCCCACCAGCAACACAAGGGATCTAGTTTCTCCGCATCATTGCCAACATTTGGTGTTGTGACTGTTTTTTATTTTTGCCATTCTGATAGGGGTGTAGTGATATCTCATTATGGTTCTAATTTGCATTTCCCTAACGGCTCATGACGCTGAACATCTTTTCATGTGTTTCTTTGCCACCTGTAGAGACTGTTTGGTGAAATGTCTGTTCATGTTTTTTCCCATTTCAAATTGAATTGTTTGTTTTTCACTGTTGAGTTTTAAGAGATTTTTCTCTTTCTAGCTACTGGTCCTCTGTCAGATATGTGGTTTATAAACACTTTCTCTGAGTCTTTAGCTTGTCTTTTCATCCTCTTAATAGAGTCCTTCACAGAGCAAAAGTTTTTAATTTTGTTGAGGATCAATTTATCAATCTATCCCTTTATGGATCATGCTTTCTGTGTCAACTCTAACAAGTCTTTGTTTAGTCCTAGATCCTGAAGATATTCTCCTACTTTTTTTTCTAAAAGTTTTATAAACATTCACATACAGTCTTTTAAAATAATTTTGTATTTACGTTTAGGTCTGTGATCTATTTTAAGTGAACTTGGCTTCATGAAATTTCGTCACACGTATACAAGGTTCAATATCCAGCAACGGCTCTAGGTCCAAGGGGACTGCTGTGTAGCTTCCCACTCTCTGATTCTCTGCCCAGAACCTCTGCTCTTAGGTTCTTCGGTAAGTTAGGGGTTGTGAGGAGTAGGGTTCAGTCATTAATCAATGACACTTACCGAGTTCCTAACTATAGGTAAGGCCCCACAAAAGGTGCAAAGAGAAATACACCTGTCCTAGGGTTTTCCAGGGAAACAGAACCAACAGAAAGTTAGATAGATAGACAGATAATAGATGATAGATATGGATGGATGGACAGATAATAGATAGATAGATAGATAGATAGATAGATAGATAGATAGATAGATAGAGAATTGGCTTACGTGAGTATGGAGGCTGAGACATTCCAAAATCTGCAAACTGGAGACTCAGGAGAACTGATGGTGTAAGTCGCAGTCAAAGCCAAGTCCGAAGCAGGAGAAGACCAATATTCCAGTTCAAAGAAAGTCCTGCAGAAAGAGAGAATTCTCCCTTACTCCACCTTTTGATCTATCCAAGTCTTCAACTGGCAATTTTCTTTACTTGCTCTACCAATTCAAATGTTAATCCCCTCCAAAAACACTCACAGACACACGCAGAATGTTTGACCAAATATCCAGTCACCTCGTGACCCAATCAAGTTAACACATAAAATGAATCATCACAACACCCTACCCCAGTCCCAACCCAGCCATCCCCACATGAGCCCAAGATAGCGATTGGGAAATGTGTGCAAATTTAGAGGTCAGGGATGATGACGGGACCTTAGGCAATAGGATTGTGCAGCGACAAGACAAACCGTGAAGCTGCTCTCTCCTCTCCGACCATCATTTGCCCTTCCCCCCAGCAATAAGGAGTCAGGGAATTGGCCGCCTCCCCCAAACCTAGGTTCTCAAACTTTGGCTAAAGTTTTTGAATCAACCTAGGGATAACATCACACCCCAGATCAGGTCAGGGCCTGAGAACTTGCCCTGATTTCTTCTGGGTCTTACAATGTCAGACTCTGGAACTGAAAACCCCATAACGATTTAGGTATTGAATCTTGGCAGAAAAGGAAGGCTACAGGATAGAGGGCATGAGAGGCATGGGAAGGGAAGGAGGTGGGGAGTACAGGAGCTGGCAGGAAAAAACTGGGAGCCGGAAGGGTCTTGCTCACCCATTATCCAGAGGTTACAGAATGCTAACCCTCAAGGAGAATCCAGCCATAGGAATGTTTTGTTTAATTACACAATATTCTCAGTGTTTTTGACCCTAGTATTCGAAAAGCATATATTGCATAAAATTCCAAAATTTCCAGCATCCTTGACAAATCAGAAGATATGGCGACACTGGGCCCACATGACAATTGGCTGGAACTCTGTAGGCGTTGCACACCTCAGACAGAGTAACTGACCTCAGCTTTGCTACAGTTGCCACCACTCCCTACTGTCCCCCGACACTGAGGCTCTGCATCATTTGTCATTTAACACTGAGCTGGTGCTGTTGTTCTTACTCCCAACCTGTCTCATAGTTTATCTTACCTGCCTGGCCACTTTGGGCATCTAAAATTTTAACCTCTTAGCTAGTCTGAACCCTTCATTTAACAGAAGAAGCAAGATCAGAAAGAGGACATGATCTGGTGAAAGTCTCAAGTGAATCAATGGCAAGACCAGGACCAGGATGCTTTCTTCCTTGGCCTGCATCCTGAATGCATGTCCCTGTGGCTGTGTCTGGGAGGTCTTCCACTCTGAGGCACTCAATGGGAAACTGAAGCCTAGGTATCCATCAGGACTCCTTCTTCCCATTAGCCCGACCAGTGGTCATGGGACTTCAGACTAAAGAGGAGAAAGACCAGACTGCTTGTGTAGGAAGGAGGTAGGAGGCTATCAAGAGAATGCTTAAGTGGCAGGAATTATCTTGAAATCAGAACTAACTTGGGAGACACAGAACATGGGATGCCTAGAAGTGGGCCAGAGGTATTGTGGGGCTCAAGCCAGAAGGGGAACAAAAATCCACACTGTGGACAACCAGACCCTTCCGGCAGAGCTGGCCACTTCTGCCTTTGGAAAGTGTTTCACAATGCCCCATGTGTGAGGACAGTCAAGCTGAGTCAAGAATGGGTAAGAGGGTGTGGGTCACACACTGGCGTGTGCCAGCACCCAGAGAGGGAACATGGGCTGAGGAGTTGTCCAGCACGCCACTCACACGCAGAGAGTGCCTAATCTGCCATCCTCGTGATGGGTGAGTAGCCCCCTTCAGGGATGGGGATGGGGGAGAGTCGGAGGGGCAAAGGGAGCCCCTGATCCCCCATGGGAGTCCTGGTCTGGACCATAATTCTGGATACAAGCCCAGAGTTGGGCTCTTTGCATCTCCATGGGCATAGCATCCCCTTTGTCTGATCTCTGTGCATTTGGAGCCCCTGGAGCTTCCTCAGCTGCTGGAGGAGGCCAGGGTGAGGCCAAGGGGCATCCATGTTGGTGTCAGTTAGCCCTCTTCAGAGCCCAGTGTCCCTCTGGCAAGAGAGATCTGGATTTGGGAATCCCTGCACTCACATGGAAAGAGGGTAATTCTGAAGATACTTCCCACACATCTTCTGGAACATTTGGTCAAAGGGTGAAGGTGATAGACCCAGGGTGGGAGTCACAGGCCCCTGTTCAGTTGAACCTTGATTTCTCCACTTTGACGGGAGGAGGTAGGGGAGGAAGACTTTAGCCCTCAGCCACCAGAAAGAAGCAAGCAAGTCACTCACCATGCCTCATGGGGTCCTTTGCAGGTGACAGGGGCCCCCAAAGTCCAAGCAGGCCCAGCTATGGCTCCATCTCCAGCCCACCCAATGCAGAGCCACAGCAACCGCCTCCCGGAGGGACCTACCTGAATGAGAAAATCCCCGTCCCGGACACAGAACCGGTGGGAATGCCAGAAACTTCCTGGGGCTTTTTAGAATGGACAGGACCACATGGACTCGCATGGGCTGGGGGTGGAAGGTCTTCTGAAGACTGTGGCAAGTCCCTTCCAGCTCTGAGAATCAATGACAGTGTAACTGCGCCCTTTCTGAATCTGTCCCCAGCACTTAGCTTATCATTTGCCTGAAAGGTTTTCTGGATGAATCTCAGCTTTCCTATGAAGGGAAGAGGACTTGGGGTGAATCAGGATGGAGCTTCAAGGATTTGTATCATTAAAGGAAAGGACCTAGACAAGGGCATCAGGAGAAGTGAAAGAAGCTGCAGGCTGGTTTATAGGATGCTGTCACCCTCCATTTCCAGAATTTTTAGCAGATCCCAGGCTACCAGGCCAAGCCTTAGAATTGGGGTAGGGGGACCTTCAGCTCAGTGGGCTCCAGAGGGGAGGGCCTACGGTTTGACAAGGAGCTCAGGAGGGGAGAGCTGGCCCAGGGAGGCCCCCTCAGGGGCTCTGAGGATCTCAGAGTCAGGGCTTGGACAGGGCAGGTTGGTCAGGCACAAGTAGGCTACTGAATGGGACAAATCCATAAAACCGGTGGGCTGTGACTCAGCAAATCCTGCTGGTTCCTCCCACCCCATGCCCTCCGCTAACTCCCCAGGGCGCAGCTCCAGGAATGGAGAACACAGGACGGGCTGACCAGGCTGGGCTGATGAGCCCCTTAAGGCTCAGCTGGGGATGGGCCGAGGCCAGCTGTCATAGCCCCTACACCCAGCATCTGTTCACCTCACTCCCACCTGCAGGGCATGTTCAGCTTTCGGAAGCTGTGGGCCTTCACGGGGCCAGGCTTTCTCATGAGCATCGCTTTCCTGGACCCGGGAAACATCGAGTCGGATCTGCAGGCTGGTGCTGTGGCTGGATTCAAAGTGATTGAGTGGGGGCACTGTGCAGAGGCGGGTGACCAGGCTAAGTGGGTGGAGACCCCAGCTTGCCACATTTCCCCAGAGTGGCCTGCATGGCTGGTATTGCTGGGAGATGTTAAGTTCAAATGGGCCAGAAAAGAGTCCCCAGGGCAGCCCTGCCAGAATGTGGGGCGTATGGGGTGGGAGGGAGATTGGTCATTTTGCTCCATCTCCCCAACTCTCTCCCCAAGGAGTATCCTCGGTTAGAAGGTGCCACAGATTTGGGGGTTAGCAGAAACTGCCTCCTCTGGCTGAAATCCTCTCCCTTCACAGCTGCTCTGGGTGCTGTTGTGGGCCACGGTGTTGGGCTTGCTCTGCCAGCGACTTGCTGCCCGGCTGGGCGTGGTGACAGGCAAGGACTTGGGGGAGGTCTGCCATCTCTACTACCCTAAGGTGAGCTTGGTGGGCCTGGACGGGAAACACCCACAGGTCTCAACTCGAAAATAGCCATTTACAGCTTCCATGATCGAATAAATACATTATCTCAAGTGGAGCATCAGAAGTCTGTTTGATAGATAAGAAGACTGAAGCTCAAACCAATAGCAAACAGACTGAGAGGGGCATTAGACATGCCCTGTTCATTGTACGGAGAGGGAAATCGAAACCTGAAGAAGTGATTTGCCCAAGGCAAACAACAGGTAGACATCAGCTCAGGATGATCATTGGCTGCGGCGGACACCGGGGCTTGGCTGTTGTCACTGTCCAGGCAGGAACATTGAAATTCTGCCATTAGATATTTCATTTTTATCTTTATTTATTTATTTATTTATTTTTTATTTTTGGCGAGGCAATCCTCGTTTGACCTCACAGATTGCAAGGACCTGTCAGCTTACGATCCTTTATTTTTTTAAATTTTTTACCCCTACAGCACCTGGTCTTCCTAGGTGGTCTCCCATCCAAGTACTAACCAGGCCCGACTCTGCTTAGCTTCCGGGATCAGACAGAATCGGGCTTGTTCAGGGTAGCATGGCCGTAGACTGCCATTAGACATTTCAAAGGTACTTAATATAAGGATGTAGTTCCAAAGGCGTTGGAAGGGATGGAGGAGCAGGGGAAGGAGTGTTCCTCGGAGGTCAGAAAGCTGCTGGGCAGGAGCCCCAGAGCCATTAATTGCTGCTGAGCTTCTGGGAGCATTGCCACCTCTGCCGAAACGGCCACCAGTGCTGCCGGAGCCTGGGTTGCCTGGTACTTTCTCTGGTGCCACTGCCAGAAACACCACCAGAGGCGAGGCAAAATGATTTCTCCCGGCCTTTCGATCTCCCATAAGTGTTTTCTGCCAAATCTACCTGGAAGCCAGCTGCAAGGGTAACTTGCAAATGTAGTTTTCAGGCTTCCAGCCTGAAAGTACAGTGCCGAGTATGGAAAGGTGAATGTGGGGCTGAAACGAACAACCGGCTCCACCTTGATGAAGGTTACCTCCTCCCGCAGGTGCCCCGCACCCTCCTTTGGCTGACCATCGAGCTAGCCATTGTGGGCTCGGACATGCAAGAGGTCATCGGCACGGCTATAGCATTCAGTCTGCTCTCGGCTGGACGGTATTGCCCCCGCGACCCCCGCTCCTCAGTCCAGGACTGGGAGCAGCAGCTACTTCTTCCCCAGGCCTTGTACTTCCCATGTTCAGTTCATCTTGCAGTCCCTTCTGACTCGGAACTGTTGCTCAATTTGCCAAATGGAGAAACAGAGACCCAGAAACAAAAAGTGATTTGTCTTAGGTCACACAGAAGTCAGTAGGAAAGGGGTGGTCTGTCCAGGGCCTAACCTCAGTGACCGTGCAGGCTGCAGGATTGCAGCCTGAGCTACCAACCGTTCTGGCCCCCACCCAGCCTGGCCTTTCCTTCCCTGTTCCGTGCCATTTTCCATCTCCAGCACACTCCCACTCCCCTCTCCTGTAGATGTCTGGGGCCACTTGAGTCCCTGCTCCCAGGAGGCCAGATTCCAGTCTCCAGCCCTGAGGGTGGGAGTTCCAGACCCCTGGACCAGGCTCGGCTGACCCGGGCCACTCTGGTTTCAGAATCCCTCTCTGGGGCGGCGTCCTCATCACCATCGTGGACACTTTCTTCTTCCTCTTCCTCGATAACTATGGTAGGTGTGCCCGTCATCTCAGACGGGACTGCACAGCAGGGCAGGCAAGTGAATGCACGAGCAGGCCGATGCCCTGTCGTTCTGGGGAAGGGCTCTGAGATGAGCTCCCGCGGCCTTGAGCAAGTTACTCAGACGTCGTTTCTTCATCCATAGATAGCGTGGGGGAAATGATCGCAGATGTCATAGGGCTGTGGTGAGGGTTCACTGAGGTAATATATGTTATTGGCACAATGCCTGGAACGAAGTGCTCAATTTTGCCATTACTAGTTGCTGATGTTACAATTTTTTGGTTTCTTTACTGTTCTGTCTCTTTGCTCTCTCCCTAGGGCTGCGGAAGCTGGAAGCCTTTTTTGGATTCCTTATTACCATTATGGCCTTGACTTTTGGCTACGAGGTAGGAAGTCAGATCTGCAACCCTCCCCACCCCCACAAAGGTCACCCCTCTCTCTGCCCCTAGCAGAGCTTGAGGGGTCAGGATCAGGGTGGAGGGTGAGAATGGCTGCACAGAGGAGGGGCTCAGCCTGACAAGGTTCCTTCCCACAGTACGTGGTGGCACGTCCTGCTCAGGGAGAGCTACTTCGAGGTTTGTTCCTGCCCTCGTGCCCCGGCTGTGGCCAGCCAGAGCTGCTGCAGGCTGTGGGCATCGTTGGCGCCATCATCATGCCCCACAACATCTACCTACACTCGTCCCTGGTCAAGGTGAGCAGAGGGGCACGGGGAGAGAAATGCCTGCTCCCTTAGTCACACTGGCCCCGCCTCCAAACCTGGAGCCCCGCCCCTTTGAGTCCTCCCTGATTTTAGGCAGGAAGTGAATGGTTCTCTATTCAATTTTTAATAATAGAGCACCTACCGTGTGCTGGGATCTGGGGGTCAATGATGGAAAGACAGACGAGTCCTCTGCTTTCCTAGAGTTTGCAATCTAGTGGAGGAGACAGACCATGAGCAGCAATTAAACTAATAAAGGAAAGAATTATGGATTGTGCAAGGTGCTCTGAACGGAAAAGCAACGGAGAGAATGACTAAGGACAGGGCTACTTTAGAAAAAGTAGTCAGGAAAGGCCTTTCTAAGGAGGTGAACGCTGAGATGTGAAGGATGGGGAGGAAGATCAGCGGAGAAGATCTTCTAAGCAGAGGAACTATTCAGAGCAAAGGCTTTGAGGAGAAATAAACCGAGCGTGTAGGAAAGGGGTCGTCTGTCCAGGGCCTAACCCAGACTGCCGTGTAGGGGGGCTTTAGGAAGAGCTGGGGTTCGGGGAGAACACAGGCAGAGGGATGAGGGCGGAGGATGTTGGGGTGGTTCTGGGAGACTTTGGTGTTTCCCTCCTCTTTGACCTTTATAGTCACGGGAGATAGACCGGACCCGCCGGGCTGATGTCCGAGAAGCCAACATGTACTTCCTGATCGAGGCCACCATTGCCCTGTCTGTCTCCTTCTTCATCAACCTGTTTGTTGTGGGTGTCTTTGGGCAAGCCTTCTACCTGCAAACCAACCAAGCTGCGGTGAGACACACCTCCCTAACCTGCAGCAAGTCCCATGCTCTCTTACCCTGCAGGCTTTGTGGGAGATTCCAGGCAACGCAGCTAAGCCCTTCGAGTCTCTGCCCTACAGGTCAGGAGGGAGTCTGTGACCCTGGCCCCTGGCTGGGATCCCTTTGTCCACACCACTGGGGAGATAAGGCTTCCCCAGGGCAGGCTCTTAGAGGGTAAGAGCCACACCAGGAGCAGCAAAGCACAGACATCCAAGGGAGAGGCTTGAGAGGGAGGAGCTGAGTTGGAGGCCGCAGCATCCCAACGGCCCCAGGAAGGATGGGCAGTGTTTGCGCTGCAACCTGCCGGGAGGGCGTTCTGGGAGAAGGGGGGGTGGGATGCCTGAGCATGAGTGCAGAGTGGGGAGGTGCACACAGCCCTTTTCTTCTCTGAGTCCTCTCTCCCAATGATCTTCATTAGCAGATAAACTGTTATTCATTCAGTGAATTGTTACTGAGCATTCATTATGTATCAGGCAGTGTCCTAGACCCTAGAGATACAGCAGTCAGTGATATGAAGACCCTGCCCTCTTGCAGCTTAAATGCCGAAGGCATCGAGCAGAGAGGAAGCAAATCAACAAAGCAGTACAAAAGGGAAGACTGTGGGCAATGCTGTGAATGAAATGAAGGGGGTGGCGAAACTCACTGGGATGCGAGGAGGGAGGAGCTACTTTAGCCCTGATGGTCAGAGAGGCCTCTCGGAGGAGGTGACATTTGAGCTGAAAGGGGAGACAGCCAGCTCTTCCCTGGCTCTCTGGAATTCGGGACCTGTGCCTGCCTCCCTTTCTGAATGGGTCTCTGTCACGAGGCTCTAATAACTGCTAGCCAGTGTTGGGTGCTCACTGAATGCTGAACACCGTGGGAGAGGAATGGCCAGGCCTCCGAGGACCTGGGCACTGCCAATGCCTTGCTATGTGACCTTTCGGGGTTATGCCCCTTCCTGGGTCCCACTGCTCCTTGGCACAAAGAGAGGGGTCTAAATAAGGATGGCAAACTCTTGTTTTCAAGACGAGGCCAGTCGCAGAGCTGTGGGAAGTGGGTTTGGTGTCAAGGAGAGGGGACTGTGGGGCAGCTTGAGTCACTGCCAGCCCATTGTCCCTTCACGGTAATGCTGGCTCTTACAAATCCAACATACCCCTGGAAACCGGGTTCTCATGTGAGTTCTCAGTTTTAAATACTGGCAACAAATTCACATTAAAGAAAAAAACAACTTGTTAACCAAACAAAATATATATCTGGCCAGACTCAGCCCACAGGCCACCAGCTTTCAAACTCTGGTCAAGGCCGGGTGGTCTGAGTTTCTGAGACTGAGCGTGCGCTTCCCATCTCCTTCCTACTGCCCCGGTGCCCGCAGTTCAACGTCTGCGCCAACAGCAGCCTCCACGACTACGCCAAGATCTTCCCCATGAACAACCACACAGTGGACGTGGACATTTACCAAGGAGTAAGGGCGCGGCAGGGGCGGGCGCAGAAGGGCTAGATCCCGTGGGGTTCCTCAGCCAGCCCATGTCAGGGGCGGGACCCGCGCCAGGAGGGGCGGGGCCGGGGGTCTGACTACACTCTTCTCTCCAGGGCGTGATCCTGGGCTGCCTCTTCGGCCCTGCAGCCCTGTACATCTGGGCAGTGGGTCTCCTGGCTGCCGGGCAGAGCTCCACCATGACCGGCACCTACGCGGGACAGTTTGTGATGGAGGTGGGCGGGCAGGGGAGGGCCAGGGGTCCGAGGTTAGCAGGCGCAATACTGGGGGTTCGAACATGGGCCTCCTTGATCCTTAAAGCAGCTCAGATTCTAAAACAGCCATTATAAGCCCCACTTCATAGATGAGAAAACGGAGATTCAGAAAGGTGAGGCGACTGGCCCGAGCCTCAGACCCAGGACTATTAGGAGCCTTTTCCCCCAAATGCTTTAGTCTGCAGCAATCAGCGGTGGGAGGAGAACTCTTAATTTCTCCCCATCCAGCCCCTCTCCACCAACTAGGGGCAGAGCTGCCCCCATTTCAGAGATAGAAAGACAGAGGGTTACCCCAGGCATGGGACGGCCTGAGGGACGACAGAAGTCCCTCCTCTGGAATCCCCAGTCCTGCACCCCGACACCAAAGTGCCCACCCCACACTCCAGGGCTTCCTGAAGCTGCGGTGGTCACGATTTACCCGCGTCCTCCTCACTCGCTCCTGCGCCATCCTTCCCACCGTGCTTGTGGCTGTCTTCAGGGACCTGAAAGACCTGTCAGGCCTCAATGACCTGCTCAACGTGCTGCAGAGTCTGCTGGTGAGGGCATCGCTATTACCCCTGCCCCCTGCAGAGCTAAAGAGGAACCACAGCAATCCCCCATCCCCATACTGAGCCTATCCCTCCCTACC